CTTGCTCTCTAAACCAAAACAGCGTAATCATCAAGGTCAAAAGGAATTACGGCTGGCGAATCGCATCACGAAGCCCTGACAAAAATTTACGGCATTTGTCTTCATAACTTGAGATAATCTGAGATGCATAACGGGACAACATGGTAAACTCAGCTTCATACTGCATAACTGTCTGATCCCCTTATAATAATCAAATAAATTGCTCCTGCATCTGCCTCCTCGCAGAAATAGAGGCACAAACCAGTTTCTGAAGACTTTAACAAAATCATTCCATAAGATCTGAGATGCTGCTCTGCCACCAAATTTCTTCAATAGTTGTCCTCTCCACCATCTTTCAGCTTCCCCATCCAAAGAAAAAGTGGTTAAAGTCACCCTTCGATCAGCCGGACAATGCATACCTTTTAAAATTTTTTCGACTCTCATAAGCCAATTTTCAGCATCAATTGGCTCTCCTACTCCCGTAAAGAGAGGTGGTCGCATGTCCAGAAAGATTTTCTGATACTTATCTACAGATGTCTCTCTCTTGGAACTAGATTGAGGCTGCTCTTGAGAATGCTGAATTAAATATGTCATAGTCGCCATCATCTATATAAAAGTGTCTATGGTAGTACTGCTGCTACCACCACGAGGTTGTACCACAGATAGAACTGCTGGATTTTCTCTCCTAGCCTGTTCATTGTTCCCATCAGTGTTGCCGTCAGTGGCATCGGGCTCCTGATCAATAGCCCTAAACTAATAAAAAAAATTTCAATTCAATCATCGTCGTATAAACATACACCCTAAAATATCTAACACTCATAAATCATCCTAATGACGCCTTATACTGATCCATATCCTAAACTTGTGCTCTGATACCACTTATCATGACCCGGCCCGATGAGCTCATGTAGACGAAGCGGGAACAGATGTCGGACGTTCAAAAAATTTCAATTTTCTTAAAACATGTATTTAAAAATCCAAAATACTTCAAAATGGAACTAAAAGCGTCTTTAAACATTTCCTAAATTGTATTAAACATTGCATATCATTACATAACAATTCATAAGAAGATCCACATGTACAAAGGTGGTTATAGAATCTATCATTCATGCTAAACCACCAAAAAATGTAAACTAAAATTAAAAAGACATAAGATAAACCTGTCATCTGGTCCTCTACGACTGTAGTTGAACCAAGGATGGTCAGCCATTTTTTGTAGCGGGTTCTCCTGAAAATGTCCAAAAATGAGGGAATGAGCTATAGCTCAATAGGAAACACTAACTCTAACATATTCACTTGCCTTTTAAAAGAAAATTTACATGTATGCTAGAAGTGAAATATCTTGATTGTTTTGTTGCACATGCTAATTCTTATGTATATGCTACATGTGATATGATAGCTCATATGTCTTATGTATATCATATGGCTTATGTATGTCATATGTCTTATGTATGTCATATTTCTTATGTCTATGCTTGCTTAGCTTTATCTTATACAACCGTATCAGAGTACAAGAAGTGTACTGATCAGGTACGCAAACATATTTTTGGCCATTCATTTTCCTTTCCTCTTTTGCCCTAAAATGCCATATTGTTCATAAGAGCCATATTTGTACTTTTGTACCATATTTGGTACTCCGCATTCAACATGCACAATCATTTCAACATTTTTTTTTATAGAAACATGGCTATGTAATGTAGAATTTTCATAAAAATCATATGCATTGAGTATGAAGTAAGTACATGAAATAGACTTATATGGAATGCTTTCTAACAATTAATGAGAAATTTTAATAAATGCATTTCATATGCATTTAATATGTATCAACTAAAGAGGCATTTCAAAACAAAAATATAAAGGAACATGAATATGTAGAGTATGCTGTTCCTACCTCAAATGCTGTCATTTGAAAGTGTCTTTTCTCCGATCTCTACTTAATACCTTTTTTTCTCAAGTCCTAAGGAAAAGTTACAATATAAGCCTCTTATATCAACCCAAATCACTAAACACCCTACACATGTCATACCTAATTACTTCCCTTAAACTCATTAATACTCATTCACCTACCCATACCCTAAAGCATTTATTTATCACATAAGCATGTTTATCACATAAAGCATGTTCATCACATATGACATAAGTCTTAAATCTAAGGTAAACTTTACCTAACATAGATCCTAATTAAAATAAATAAAAAATCGATCCTAATTGGTAATTACTTTATTATTAACCCATAATCTAATGTATTTTACATCGATTAAAAAGGCGTTCGAGGCGGAAGCCTCGAGGCGCGCCTCGAATCGAGGCGGAGGTCGGGCGAACTGAGGCTTAAGCCTCGAACGTTCGGGCGAGGCTTACGCCTTTTTCCATGGAGGCGTATGCCTCACCGCGTGAAATGTCGAGGCGCATCGAGGCAGCGCCTCGAAAGCGAGAAAGTTACCTTCACAGTCAGCGAGCTCCCGTTGTTTCTTCCGATCAAAATGTTGTAGCTTACGATCCGACAGGAAAGGGAAAGTCGTCGAAGGAGCAAAGTCGAACAGCCACGAAGGAGCCAAAGAAGCGACGTGTGCAATCTCTACACCTCCTGTGAAGCAACAAAGACGAACAACAAGGACAAAAAGAGAAGATGAAAGGCAAACCGTAGATTTTAAATTAATTTATTTTAATCTTTTTGAGGCTTACGCCTCGATCCGCCTCGAGGCTTACGCCTCGCCTCGTTTAGAAAAAACTCCTCGATTCCCGATTTCGCCTTTTAAAACGTTGGTATTTTATCACATCCATTCCTTCATTAAAATAAAATTTAAATGAATTTTCGGTTTTACCTAAAATCAAATTTTGGGAAACCTAATGCTTCACTAATATCATTAAGTTTGCATAATAAAACATCCCTCTTTCCTAATATAAGTATAGAACATTAAATTTTCAGATTAATACAAAAAAAAAATTTAGTTTTCAAAATTCCAATTTCTCTTAATTAGAGACCTCTCATGACCCTTAGGAATAAATTTAGTTAACATGCAAGCTTCAATTTACCAAAATAGGAAAGGCCCTAATTTAAAATTTCAAAAATCTATAGAAACAAAATTCAATTTCTTGCTTAAACATGCTTCTAAACATCTCCTAATAACATTCTTAAATAAAATCTCATTTTAAAAGAAACCCTAATTTAGGAACCTAAGTTTTTTTTTTAAGAAAATTCATTTTTTATGACTTGGAAACATAGGCATAAACAAGCCCTAACACTTTTCTAAAGAAAACCCCATCAAAAGCAAAATCCTAAATATTTGGTTCATGAAAATCTAAGTGAAATGAACAAGATTTTGAATTTTAAATCTTACATTTCCTCTTCTTCAACCTTTTTCTTCGATTTCCGCTCTAAACCGCCGCCGGAAACCCGCTGGCCGCCACTCGCCAAGTCCAAGCCGTCGCCCTCTCTTCCTCCTCTCACGTGTGGCCGAACGAACGAGCCAAGGGACCGAAATGTTCGGTCCCTTAGGCGGATGGGGCTTTAGGGAAATTAGGTAAGAGCCAAATTATGCATGTGCCCCTCTTCCCAATTTTTTCTCTACTAGCTCATGAAGGGTAAAAAGGGGAAAAAGGGTTAAAAATTACTTAAAACTTCTTCGGGCAATTTTTAATTTCCAAACCGTGCGAATTTTGGTATACGTTATTTATGCCATTTCAATCGAAATTTCACGTAGAATTTAATAAAATTTATTTCGTTGAATTCCGACGACTTGAAAATTTCGCCTAAATTCATCGCGGCGCATCGAAATACGTGCGGCGCATCCGAACGATAGTTTTCAGGTTTCACAAAAATAGTCCCAAATATATTAAATGATTCGTTCCTCAACTCCTTAAAGAGAAATTAAAATAGTTCTACCATGAGATTATTTTGATTGATTTTTAAAGACTTGAGGGATAAAAATATTTTTTTAATATAGTTCGGGACCATTTTGGTCATTCATAAATAGTCAATGGACAATTTTGATGCTTTTTCGCGATATGAAACAAATCATACAAGTCTAGAGTTTCTCTTTTTAGGACAAACTATAGTTCATTGATATTAAAATGAATTAGACATTTTATTCCTTTGATCTACTTTCTTCATGGCCAGTCATTTGAACTACATCTAGTCATACTTCGAGCCTTTGAGCCAGCTGATGTACCTAATGCGACATGCCTTCTGTCAATAAGGCAAAGTAAAGCCTGCCGTTGAAGTCATGTGTGTGGCGTTATCTTACGCATGATCTAATTAAATTCCAATCATCACAGCAAATTTCCTTACCTAATACCAATTGTTGTAGCAGAACTCTTTAACTTCGTACCAAATTTCGCAATCTAAACTTCTTTACTCTTTGATGAGGGTCCTGGATGATATGATAACGGTAAACTTGACAAGGCGTACCACCCACCTTGACAAGGCGTACCACCCACCCCCACATCCATGTCCTTTTTAGGTTGAAATAACATAGCGCTACATGTATGAGTGTCATTTTCGGATATGAGTACTTTTATAAAGTGTAGAGATGATGTGACCTTCATGATCTGGAGTGCATTCTTAATTGCTAAAATTAATTAATTGTGAGGGGCTTCATCCTTAAGAAGTTTCTATACCAAGAATAATAAAAAACCTGTTTTTAGGGTGCAATCTGATCATATAGATGTTACATTGTCTCACGAGAAAATCCAAGTTTCTTATGTTGATATCTGGGAGCTTTTCTTAGTGCCCACAATATTTTCAGTAACATGTTATATTATATTAGACAAACAAAATCTTTATCGTTCTTTTTCATATTTAGTTTGGCGTAACGTCTCAATCATTCCCAACCCCTTCTATTTTAGTAAGGGGATCCGGAAGTTTTTCAGCATTCATTACGTAATGATTCATTGATTTACCGAATATAAGCTTTTTCACTAGCGTGTGTTGAGCAACATACTCTTTTGCTTTGAGTTTTTTATTTCTCCTACATACATTCTTCCTCATTTTCATATATTGCTTAGTTTTGATGAACATTCAGGTGATGTGCCCCTTGAGAATTCATTACTCAGGCAAGTCTCAAGTCTACTAAGAAGGCTGCCAGCCATGGAATCAGAAAAATTTCAGGATGATTTCTTGATGGTGAGTGTACCATTTCCCTTTGGTTTAGCTGGTGCTTTTGGCTCTTAGAAATTTTAACTTTAAGGGAAGTCTATTGCATGCTTAATAAATGGACTTGAATAAAAAAATAAGAAATTTGTTTAAATAAAAAAATTTGTTGGCACATAGACAGTGTCTACTTATAAACTCCAGGTTTTCATATGTTTACTAAATTTAGTTGCCAGTAATCCTTCATGTCGTTTCTTTTTCAGGAATTCAATGACACACTTCTTATGACCTACCTTGCCATGTTTACCAATTGTGCAAGGTATGCCTTATTTCTTTCTATATTACAGTAACTTTAAAATATAAAAGAAAATTTCAAGGCATGCTGCTAGGGATGTTAAATGAAATGTTGAAGTTGATTTCCATTGATGATAATGCTATGCCAATGATCATCTGTGAAAAATTATAAGGATTTCAGTCTATTATATTTTCTTAAGCAGATAGTGGTCACTTGAATAGTGGGTAAAGTTTATTTCAGTTATGATATTTTCTTAACCATTCTTTAATTTTTATTGTGCATATATGAAGCTTTTTAATTTTCTTTTTAAATTGGTCTGTTGTCATTAAGAAACTGCAAATGAAACTTGATAAAAAAATTGTATCAGGATATCCTAATCAAATTTTGATCATAATGGGCTTAAAAATTTGATGCGGCACTATATATGAATTTTTTTTTTAAGACAAATTCAAACATAATGAAGAAAGTTGCTGTGAAAAATATGATAGAGTAATAAAAAATTAAGATATTTATATATAATCAACATAATAAATATTTTATGTAATATATATTAAAATTGCCAAGTGGCAAATTTTAATTTCATTTTGAAAAAAATTTTATTAGGATATCTGTATCAAATTTTTTTCATATAACTTCACCTCTCCAGTGTTTAATAGGATATTGATTTCTGCAGCACCATGAACGAACTGGTTGAAAAGTTCAGTACAATTTATGATCGACACAGCAGAAGAGGAGGAAGGACTTCATTCATTTAATACAGTATATGCCATATACACTATCTTCTTCAAAGCCTGTTCACTACATACAATTTATAGTTAGGGTCTAGAAAGAAATTGGTTTGTTTTCCTGAAAGTATGATTAAGCTTTCAGAATGAAAACATTTTCTCATTTCAGCCAAAATCATTTTAGGTTTGGTAATTTCTCTTTACACTTTCGCTGACCTTTTGCTTATTGTGCAATTTTGAGTTTTATTACTTGCTTTTGAACTTCCGATGCTTGAACTCAGCTAATAAATTTGCTTACAGTATGTGAGAAAGGAGAGCACCTATCAATTATCAGAGCCTTTTGTTTTTAATATCTTCACAAAATAATAAAAGTATATATTTTGAAATTCAAAAGTATATATATATTTGGAATTTCAAGGGTATATTATTGACAGAGCAAATACATAACTAATAGCTGCAAGCAGAAAACTGAGAACTAACAAGGTAGAAGATAGTATGGAAATATTGTATTCTCGGACTTCTCATTTATGTAAAATGCTTCGAATAAATATAGTAGAGCCGCTAGCAAGAGTTGCTAAGACAGTTACAATCGGAGGGCTGAGAACCTTCAATGTTTAGGAATAACAGCAGATAAAGTGTGTTACAGAAAACTGTAGTGGAGACACTGCATAAGAATTGTAGCTACTCTTCTTAGCTTTTGATTGCTTATCATAAGGTTGCTTATCACTGCCGTGCAAGTTGATGGAATTCTCATAAATCATTAACTTTTTGCATGTAGAAATCAATTGATTGGTAAAACTTTTGTAAAAATATCAGCAAGTTAATTTTTGGGGTTGACATGAAGAATTGTGTGAGCTTTGTTTTACATACAATCCCGAATGAAATGAAAATTAATTTCAATATGTTTTGTACCAGCATGAAAGATGATAAGATTATTGACAAGTGCGACAACTGCAACAATTGACACATTGTTGCAATAAATAAGATTAAGCTCTGATATTGGCAAAGTTAAAATCTTGGGGAAATCTTCTTTATCAAGTGATATTGATTGTTGTTGTTGCTAATGCACGGTAATCTGCCTCAATTGAAGATCGAGCAACAGTCTTCAGTTTTTTTAGTTGTCATGAAATTAAAGTATTTTCAGGAAATGTAATAACCCATTGTAGATTTTCAGTCACTGTTGTCTCCAGTCCAATTGGAACTAGAATAATTATGATGAGTAGGATTACTGGTGTTAAATGGTAACCCAAAATGCAAAGTACCTTGACACATCTAAGTGGTTGTTTGAGAAGAAGAAAATGGTTGACCGTTGGCTGCTTACTAATAAGTAGGCTAAATTTGGTCTAGTGATTGTTAAATATTATAATGAATCCACCATCTGGTCTAGTGTTCGAGATTTTGATATAGCCTAACTGAATCATCTTACAACTAAGTTTTAGCTGGGATTGGAGTTGAAACAAGTTTGCATTCAATCATGCCCGCTCGGTGCAGCAAATCAAAGTTTATTTTATGGGCAGGCTAAATCTGGTCTAGTAATTGTTAAAAATTATAATGAACCCACCATATGGACGTAGTGTTGGGGATTTTGATGCAGCCTAACTAAGTCATCTTACAGCTGAGTTTTAGTTGGGATTGGAGTTGAAATAAGTCTGCATTCATCCATGCCTGCTCATGAAAAGAAAAAATATTTAACATGTTTTCTCCAACTTCTCTCTCATGAGACATTTGCAAGAGGATGTATATTGGTATATACTTTATGCTGGTGATATTCTTCTTGTTGATAAGACTAGAGAGGGAGTTGAAGGCAAACTTGAATTATGGAGGTCAACCTTAAAGTATTAAGGTTTTCGCTTGTGTAAATCTAAAACTGAACATATGGAGTGTAATTTTAGTAGTAATAAACCTAGTAAAGGGATTGTGACTTTGGGTGATCAAGCTTTTAATAATATTACACATTTTAGATATCTTGGATCTATTGTTCATAGTGATGACGAAATAGATGGGATATTATCAACCAAATTCAAGTTGGATAGTTGAAGTGGAGGAATGCATCGGGCTTGTTGTGTGATAGAAAAGTCCCACTCAAACTTAAGGGAAAATTCTATAAGATGGTGGTGAGACCTGTTATGTTTTATAGTGCCGAGTGTTGTCCATTAAAAGAGAAACATAATATTAAGTTAGGTGTTGCAGAGATGAGAATGCTCTAGTGGATTGTTGATCCTTATGTAATGCCCAAAGGAACAAAAGGGAGAAGAAACTGAAAGTAGAAATCCTGCATACAAGCCTCTTACCCGTTAGATCCTCGAATTCTGCCGAGATTTACGCCGATTCGGCGCCGTTCGGAATCGCTTCCCAGGTATCCCGCGACTCTGCAGCGCCTCGATAGCATCTCTTCAGCGTCATTAAATACCAAGCCAAACAGAGCATTCGGGGCTGGCACTTCTTCCATTCGCTCTTCCTCCCACGAGCGACCCCCTCTCTACTCTCCCGTCAAAGCCCCTTCTCTTCCCTAGCCGACGAAGCTCCTACCTCTTCCATCGCTGCTTCCGAATCCACGACCGATCTCCGACCAAATCCCGTCGGCCGCTAGACCTGACGCCGGAATCCCATCCCCATCTTCCGAACCCTCTTCGATCTCCAGACCCGACGCCAAATCTGACTCCACTCCAGTAGACCGACACCTCCTCTTTCTTCCGATCCTTGCCCGACCGCACCGTAACCGCAAGTAGAGAGAGAGAGAGAGAGAGGGAGAGACCGGCTTACCTCCTCCTCCATTGTTGTCCGACTTCGCACCTTCTCCGACTTTCCCTTTCTACCGAATCGGAAGTCACAACATTTAGTCGGAAGCAACAACAGAAGCTTGTTGTGAAGGTAACTTCTCCCCTTCGCGTGCTTCTTCGGCCAAATCCCTAAAACAGAGAATTAAACTCTCTGTTAACAGAGATTAGATTTGAACGAGAATTTGACTTTTAACAGGACACAATAGTGTAGCCGATCCCATGTAGTGGGACAAAGGCTTAATGTTGTTGTTGTTTTTTTTTTTTTTTATAATTTCAGCTTCCCGCACGGCCTGATGATCCGACTCAGACAAGACATGAAAATTGAAAATAAAAGCCCCAATATCTATGGTTTGTGATGACAGCGGACTATTTTCATCACTTGAGATATGTTTTCTCCTCGGAAGAAAGCTGAGAAAGAAAAGAGATGAAGAAGCTATGAAGATGGAAACTGGTTTGGAGGACGTCGAATATTGCGAGGATTTGGAAGTCGTTACGCAAGAGACGCAAAATGTGCGGGAAGAATTACCGCAACAAACTACAGAAGATAAGTCGGAGTTATTATCTGTAAATTTAATATTTTGAACAGGTTTTACCATTTTTTATTTGAAATTTAGATTTTTTTTTGAGTTCTGACATAGAACTACGTCTGGAGTTTGAACCAAATAATTTTTGAAATAAATGAGAGGGTGAGATGGAAGGTGTGTTGCCTCCAGGAGTATTCGCGGCGGTAGAGAAATATAAAGTTTATTGTCTTAGCGTTGTATGAAAATTCAGCACGCAATCAGATAAAAGAGAGGGTCTAGCATTTATAAGACACCGAGAGTTTTACGTGAAAAATCCCTGAAAAGGGGGAAAAACCACGGGGTCTAGCCCAGTTTGAATGAATCCACTAGTATTATAGTCGATTACAAATGAAGCCCTTCCTTTGAGGAAGGCCTTGTGTTTGATGTACATTATATGAAGTACATTACATGTTGGGAATACAAAGAGTCACTGTTGACGTATTCTCTTTATTGAAAGAACTGTAGTCGGCGGGCGACGTAAGTCAGGAGGACCGTAGTCAGCTGGCGACGGAGGTCGAAAGGACTGTAGTTGGCGGGCGACGTAAGTCAGGAGAACCGTAGTCGGCTGGCGACGGAAGTTGAAAGGACTGTGTCTGACGATAAAGGCCAGAAGGACGGCGTTAGGGAGAAGTCTAACAATGGGAATAAATTCATCTTCGAAAAAACGTCCAGTGAAAGTTCGATAACCGGTAGAAGTCCGTTGTCGGGAAAAAACTTGGCGAAGAGTGATGGTCCGGTGTCGGGTTGAAGTCCGATGTATGTTGGTGGACGAGGAGAACTCCGGCATCACTTGGGCAGAGTTTCGGCGTCAGGAGGGAACTCTATCATTAATTGGGAAGAATTTCAGCATCGCGTGGAAGTTGGGCAGAATTCCGGCATTCTCTCGAATATCCCGCAGAGTTCCGGCGTATTCAAGCAGCGAAAAGAACTCCGGCGGTGGTCGAGGAGGAGAGATTCTCCTTTTCCCTTATCTTCCTCTTCTTTTCTTCTTCTCTCTTCTTGCTTAAGTCCCTTCTTATGGAGAATGAGAGCTCTATTTATAGTTTTTCTGGAGTGGCATGGCTTGTAAATAGGCGCAATATCAGGGGCAAATAGGGAGTGGTTGAATGGACGGCTGATATTGGATCCTTCGATCGTGCATTGTTCGTTGGAGATTTGAAGGTCTTCGTGATGTCGGAATTCCGTGATCTTAGGCTCGTTGGATTTGTCTCGTCGAGCCTGTGCTTCAAAAGATGTCTGTGGCACTATAGTGGATGACTAATTATAATTAATTAATGCACTATGTTGAACTCTGTATTCATCTTGCAATTAATGCAAGTGAGTGTAATGAGGACGGTCGACCATCAACAGCTCGAAATGCCTTGACATCACGTGAAATTACTCGATTGTTATTTATTTGTGAAATAGATTGCATTGATGCATTCAAAATGTTCAATTTACCAAAGGCCCTCTTGCGATTAATTCAAGTGAATGCGTTCGAAAATAATGATCTATGTAACGACATTGTGTGAAGTTGCTCGAACATCGTCTGTTCGCGAAATGAGCTTTCTCGGTGTGTCATGAATGTCAAAATTTCTTAATTTGGACTGAAATCAAACTTGAATCAAGCTCGGACCACAGTGGACTTTTGAATTTGAACAAGGACTTGGATAAGTCAACAGCGGACTTGTGAACTTGATTGGACCAAATCGACATAAAAGAACTCAAACTTAAATAAAATAAATACAAGCTTGATTTGAACTTGAACTCAAGTGAATTTGAGCTTGACTTGACTTGCAAGGTGGACAAGAACATGATAACTTGAACCGAACAAAGAACTACACTAATTCAAACTTGAATTGAGCATAGACCTAACTCAATTTTAAATAAATTAGTGAGACTTGAGCTAATTGCATGGGAACTTGAAGATATTGAACTTAAACCATGCAATATCAAGTGGGTTTTGATAATGAACTATGCTCAATTGAA